CTTGTCAGTGCCAAAGTCGGCATCAAGCATTGCCTTCGCAGCACTGAATTCCCAGTCAAGAATCACACCAATGCCTTTTTTCTTCTTCCATTTTGTGCGAAGGGAGCTCAATTGTTTTTGAAAAAAGTCATATTTCATTCCGGTAAACTCCGGTCTCTTACTGTAGATTGTTTCCCATGCCTCCTTTGCTGGCATTCCTTGCTCTCCTCGCCCACGAAGGGAGAGACTTCCCGTCTGGAGGTGATATTCCAGCGTCTGTTTTGCCCCGCTGTCTTTCCACTCCTTTTTCCAGTCTCGAGGAGGCGGGCGAACCCTTTTGGATTCGTTGACCCGATGAGGTTCATTGTCCTCTGTGATGTCTGGTGCTTTCCGTTTTTGACTCGTCATTGTTTCGTGGTAACAAAAAACGAATTTCGAGGGTAATTTGCCACTACGCTCGCCACAACGTGCACCTAAAAATAAAACGAATACATGAATGAAGAATTTACTTAGGTAAAATATTTAGCGATATGTCAGATGGCTTGTCTCGGTCTTGTCACATTGTGTCGCCAATCCTCGTCATCTTTTTCAACCGAGATACCCCATCTTGCGAATGAACAACTGTTCATGCCACGACAAGCAAACGACAATGTTGAATGTACAAACAACAAAACTGACAAAAAAGAAGCAAGATTCTGAACACATTCGGAACAAAAGATAAACAACAATCAGCAAAAGTCTTCATAAATTCAATTTGATCTGGAAATTGTTTTCATTCTTTAGATTCTTTGCTTTCTGTCCTGACGAAGTCACCAGGATGCCTGACGCCAACATGTCCGAACCTGTTCCTGCTGCCCATGTGGTTACACCTCAACGAAATGGTGGCCAAAATGTTGCTCCTACTCGTGTTCCATTTGTCAATGCCACGGCGGCTGCTGCTGCTCCTGCTGGTGCTGCTCCTCCACTTGCCTCTGTCCGAACCCGCCACGAGCTCATTATCAAGAGAGGAATCTACAAGGGCAAACGGGGCTACCTTGACGAAAGTCGTGGCCATGGTGGCTACTCCCCAACACGAAAAAGTGTCTACATCACCTATATTGATGAAGATGGTGTGGAAAAAATAGCATCCCACTGCGTCAGATCAACTAGCATCACCCTGGTGAATTGGTCTACCCCACTCAACAGCACCAATCCGATTCTTCAGCGCCATCCAGAAGTAAGTATGCACCTTGCAGAGCTTGCTACGATGCTTTCTTGCATTCCTCTTCAAAATGCAGCGGAAGCTCAGCAGTTGCGCAACGATTTGAAACAGCTTATGAGGGAGATTCTTTCAAACGGTGTGCTAGACCCACCAGCAGAATAGTATTATATTGAAGAAAACTAACAGAATTCCTGCTCATCGTGGAGCAGCAAAAAGAAAATTCTACAATAGAAAAAGATAAAAATAAACACATATTATTTGTAGGTAATTCACTGTTTCTGCGTTGAAATAAAGACGGGCGGAGCAAATTCCCACAAAGTGCAGCTGGGAAATTTTAAAAGAAAGAACTGAGGTCAACCTTGTTATCATCACGCATTTCGATGTCTTCCATCTGGCCAGCGTGGGCAATTTTCCAGGTGCTGGTGAATCCAAAAAGCTCTTTTTTGCTTGTTGGTTCGTTCACGAGGTTAGGGATAGTTTCTCGATGAACACGAATGTCATCAGTTGAGAATACGCGATTGTCGAATGGTTCTTGGGTGGGCGAGAACAAAATGAGCTTGAAGGTCCAGGCATTTTCGCCCCTACTAGCTGAGACTTGAGCCTTTTTGAGCTCGGTTGCGGTCTGATGTTTGGCCGGATCTGTTGCGCTCGTGTCGACGAATGCGTTAATGTTCCGACCAAAGCAATCAGTTGCTGCCTCGCGGAAAAGCAAGGCACGCCCAAGGTAGGATTCGAAACACTTGGGCACTGAGTGTGCCATCTCAAGGTCAACGTTGTTAATGTCGCCAATGGCACCACTTTTTTGCACACTAGTTGTCTTGATTACTTGGTGGCCGCTTGGAATCTCGGATTGGTGGATGAATAGTCCCATGTGGTGGGATGGGCGGAACGGGTCATGGTAAACTGGCAAAGGTCTCTCTCGACTTCCATCGTAAAAATAGTCCGCCAAAATGTGGTTGGCACTTGGTGTAGCTTCATCAAAGGATAGCCGCTGTTGGATGGCTGGAGATTGGAAGGAGCTTGTATGGGTTCGGAATGGAGACCCGAAGGGAGAGTAGGTTTGTACTTGTGCTGCTTGCGTTGGAGCTCCGCCGACTGCGAGTTTTGTTGCAGTGCGGAATTGGTTTGCAAGGTCGTCCATGGCAATGTCAGAATTTTTAGTAGAAATAACAGGAGGGTTGAGTGTAGTTTTTTTTTCATCAGCAGAATCAAGCACAGCAAACGCAACAGCACGAGCGTCGTTCACCACGGCATCGTTTGGCCCTCCCTTGGCTTGAAGTTCCGTTGCCAGCTGCGTCTCCGTGTTTGCTGACATGTCAACTTCACGTTCATCCAGCAAATCAACGTATTCTTTCCAACCAAAACCCTTTCTTCTGACCTTGTTGGTGAGGAAGCGGCTGAAAGCCTCTCTCCTTTCACCTCCTGCCTCGCCGTAGAACTCGTTTTTGTCCCAAAGTTGAATTTTTGGGCGCATGAAAAATGGATCCAGCTCCTTTTCCTCAATATCTCTGAGGAGAAATTCAATGTCTTCATTGGTCAAAATCATTTTCCCCTTACCTTGTGATTTTGCGGCGGTGGCATTTGCAGCCATTGTTGGGTCGTTATTGGCGGTCTCGGTGGTCATGATGTTGCGTGACAAGTTCTTTTATAGGGTTTGGATCTGGAAAAGAAAGTATCTTTTGGCGAAAGTAGTCGTTGGTCCGCCAGCTCGAATTTCCAGCAACGGTTTTGGAAAAGGGGGAAGCTCGGCTCGGTGAGTAAAATCACACACGTTTGAGTAAAATCTCACACGTTTGAGTAAAAACTCACACGTTTGAGTTATAACTCACACGTTTGAGTTATAACTCACACGTTTGAGTTATAACTCACACGTTTGAGTTATAACTCACACGTTTGAGTAAAAACTCACACGTTTGAGTTATAACTCACACGTTTGAGTTATAACTCACACGTTTGAGTTATAACTCAAACGTGTGAGTTATAACTCAAGGATTCCCTCGCAATGAGTTATAACTCCGAACTTCAGGATTCCGTCTATTGATATGATTTGGAATTCGAAGTTTCTTAATGACCCTGCGACCATCAAATGACCCGTTGTTATTTACGGAATTAGGTACAGAAAAGATCGAAAATAAAGTTGTTCTGTGAAAATGATATTGTTTAAAAACGGAAATATATTTAAGGCACGGATCGCCCATTGAAAGACATCAGAATTCCCACAGTCGACCCCGCGCGGTACGGATTTTCGTCATTTGCCGGGTGTTCCAGGGACGCACCACAACGTCAAACGCACGCCCGAAATCTGTCCGTTTAGATTGTTTTGAGGATTTTTTTTAGCTCTAAATAATTTTTATGTGTCCGTTAAAATGCTCTGCGACTTTGACGCGGGACGTTTCTTTCGAGGCGGGAATGACGCGAGTTGCGTTAGTTTGACGCGGAGTTGCGTTGGTTTGACGCGGAGTTGCGTTAGTTTGACGCGGAGTTGCGTCAGTTTGACGCAGAGTTGCGTCAGTTTGACGCAGAGTTGCGTCAGTTTAACGCCGATTCCGCGTCAACTGACGCGGGTTGCGTCAATTTAACGCGGGCCTGCGTGTCTTCGACGCGGGACAAAACCCGCGTATTGTATCAGTTCCAAAAAGATTGGAGTGTGTGAATGAATGAGAGTTTGAGTTCCCACTCTCATTCCAATGAGAGTTGCCCATTTTTTGAACAATGGATCTGATGGAAATTGACAAAGCTGGGACACATA